TAATGATGTGATCCCGTTATCAACGACATCCAATGTCCATAGCCAGGAAACCATGACTATCTGTTGATCACAACGAGCTAGTCAACTAGAGGCTCACTAGGGACATATTGTGGTCTATGTATTCACACGTGTATTACGATTTCCGGATAATACAGTTATAGCATGAATAAAAGACTATTATCATGAACAAAGAAATATAATAATAACACTTTTATTATTGCCTCTAGGGCATATTTCCAACAGATATAACTTTTGATGCAAGCAAACTGAGCAGGTTAATGTCAAACTCGGATGATGATCATTGGCATGCACTTGATATGGTCTTTCTATCTAAGTGGTACAATGAGTTATGGAATTCACTGTTAAGGGCATCCTGCCGTACTCGAATGATATAGTGATTCGAACTAGATTTCTGATGTTGATGTGCTCTATGGCACAAGTGGGTATATTTTTACACATGGAAGTGTCGTGGTGTCATGAAGGTATTGTAAGCAAAGCATTTTAACAAGGCAACCATTGAAGCGGAACTTACTGCTTTAGTCACAACTACTATTGAATCAGACTAGTTGTTTGAACTCTTGATGGAGTTGCCTGGTTGAACAACCGGTGCCGACTATTGTTATGAATTGTGACCATCAAACGGTTATCGTCAAAGTGAACAATTCTAAGAATAATGTGAAGTTCTTAAGACACGTGAAGGGACGTTTGAAGTCTGTGAGAAAATTGAGCAACTCTGTTGTTACATATGTTAAAACAACTAAAAACCTGGCAGATCCCTTTACAAAGAAACTATCACGAAATGTGATAGATACTGCATCGAGGGAGATGAGTATGAGGCATATATGTGTTACACCATAGTACTAACCCAAACTTTTTATCATAGATTATGTGAACTAGGACTCGGGAAGAGCAAGTCGTCTGTTAATATAGCAGAGTAACCTATAACCCTCTCTAGGTGAAGATGCAAAACATTCAGAACTATAAGAGAACTATAAGGTGGGATGACAACGTGCCTTAATGTCTTTATGTTGATTATGTAGCCAAGATGTTGTCATACAGAGCATTGTTGAAAGAACACATTTATATGAGACTTGGTTGTTAAACGTCTACAATGCATTGTTTTGTATATGTGTTGGAATGGTCTCGTAAATGCTACTCTCTGATGGAAGAGCAAGTGTGTACAACTCGTGAGCTCGCCGAGTTGTATAGGATATATCTATTTTACATCTGGGATCTGGCTGCTGTTGAATTTGACGCGGGGTTTGCCCATGCTAAAGTTGAGCACTCTGGACCTCATGTTGTACTTGATCTCCCCGTCATAGAGCAGCTTGCGGATGTAGTGCTCAAGATCAGAGCCGATGAGACGAAGCGTGTACTCTGACAGTGGAGCTCCCTGTGTAACAGCAGCAGAATTGTAACCAGGTCAGCCCAACACTCCCATCAACGCGGCATGACTATGCATTTCTCGCTACGATGCTAGAGAATTCTGTTGGATAAAGCTAGTTTCTAAATTTTTGGTAAATGTGGCAGAATCAAATGAACATGAAAATGTTCAGTTTAGCCACGTGGTTACTCACTGGGATTTCTCACGGGAGCAGTGTGCACGAATGGGATGGCCGATTTACCTCGTAGTGGTCGACGAGGTTCTGGAACTCGTTGTAGACCATCTGGCATGTCTCGTCGGTCCAGACGAACTCCTCGGTGGGGTCGAGCATGAGCGTGAGCTTGTCCGTCTGCGTCTGGTCGAAGGCGTTGGTCTCCGGGTCGATGTACGCGGCGTAGATGCGCACGTGCCGCGTCGTGCAGCTCAGCCACTGGCTGCCGTACTCCCGCCCCATGTTCTTGCTCTCCGCCAGCGGCTGCCGCGGCAGCGACTGCGCGGGGCCCTTCGCCGCCGCCGCCGCCGTCGCCTGCTCCTCCTGCAGCGGCGGCACGGTCGCCGCGGGCTCCTCCTCTTTCACCTCCTGCTGGGCTCGCACCGGGGGGAACCGGACGCTACGTGGTGCAGTTTTGGCGCTTGGGTACCGGCTCAGGAGCGCGAACTTTGCCGCCGGGGAGAGCAACGACGAGGCCGCCGTGGTCGCCATGCTCTGGTGGCCTCCGTGTTTTTTTTTTGTTTTTTTTTTTTTTGAGATGGTGGCCTCCGTGTTTTGCTTGGCTGGGTAGCGATCTTCTGGTTCGCGATGCCTGGCTGTGTATTTGCCGCTGCCGTCCCCAGGAGCCACAAGAGCGTCATTGTGCCTCCGTGTGGCTTGTGTGGATAAGGGTTATTTTCGCCACTCGCTGCCCGCCAGACCTATACGTCGCCTACTGCGACCTGTAACATAGCGTCGCCTCACGCCTTATACAATGCTATGTGTTTAGAGAGGTGTTTAGAAAAATACACCGAGTTTTTTAAAGCACCGATGTTTATTTTTACAGAAGAGACCTCTAACTAAGTGTTTGCCCATTGCTATCGAATCGGATTCTAGCTTGGCAGTGTCTATGGTATCCTCTGGCGAAGTTGATCGTTCAATCTATACTGCTTTGGTGAATGAAATTAGACTACTGTTGCGTCTTAGACAAACTTGTGTTATTCATATTGTGAGAGTCCAGAATAAAGCCAGTGATAGTTTGACTAGGTTTGCTCGAGTTGAAGGGCGAACTATGACTTGGCTGGGATCTGGGCCAGGGGAGGTCTTGGGTATATCCCTTGATGATTGTAAAGGCATTGTTATTTGAGTAATACAAGTGTTTCCGCAAAAAAAAAAGTATCGGTGCTTAAGAAAAGCTTGATTTATTTCTCTAAGCACCTTCCTTAAGCACATTCCATTGTACAAGGCCTCAAGGAGTCCCCTTAGTGGCTGGCTGGGTCGTATGGTTCTGCTCTGGGTTTTCTTCAGTTTTCTTTTGATTTTTTATTCTTGATTTTCACTTTGATTCTTTGTTTCTTTTCATTGTCTTTTCTACGTTCATCACTGTTTTTTATTTTTTAATTTTATTTTCCTTTCAAATTTTTAAGCACATTCCAACTTTTCCAGTACACATTGTACAATTTTGATACACGTGTGTAACATTTATTTGATACACGTTGAACATTTCTCAAATAAATAATATAAATTTATTAAATACATGTTTCGAACATTTTTTTTGAATATGTGTTAAATATTTTTCAAATATATGTTGTATATTTTTTAATGGCATGAAACATATTTACAAAACAACATGATTATTTTTTTACATTGTATAAATAATTTTCAAACTATCACATGCATAATTTTAAAATGCATGAATATTTAAAAAAAATTAAGTTAAACATTGAATGCTACAAAACATTATACTACACGGACATTTTTTTGTGTTGTAAATTTTTTTCCAACAATGCAGGAATATTTTTAAGAAATGACATGTACATTTCTTAAATGCTATTGACATTTTTTAAAAGTTATGTGAACATTTTTGAGTGCGTGATGAACTACTTAAGTGAATTAATTTTGGAAATATTTATTATATTTTAATTATTTTAAATTGAATGACAACATTAGAAAAGTGGAAAAGAAAAAAAATGAACCTAACGCTACTTGGGTTGGCCGATCGTACACTCGCTTGAGGCGATGCTATGTTCCAGATCGCTATAAGCGGAATATAGGAATGCCCCGCGCTGCCGGCTAAGAAGTGAATTGCTTCCAGGGCTGCCTTTGGGAGAGCAACAAACCGACGGTTACACATTGGTCTCCCGCAAGGGTCTTTTTTTGTGGCCTGGGAGCGCGTAAGTGGTGCATCTAGCCACCGTCACATGTCGCTTGCTGCGCACTCTCTTTAAATTTCAGTTTTTTTTTATTTATTGGTACGCATTTTCAGGTTTTAGATTATTATTTTTCGGGGGTTCTCAGCTTTTCGGTTTTATCTAGGTTTTGGAGAAAAAATTACGAAGCACAACTATACTTCTCGAAAAAAAATTGTGATTCCACGATAAGTACAGATTTGCTTCGCGTGAAAGTATAGATTTGCTTCCGTGAGAAGTATAATTGTGCTTTTCGAGAAAAAAAATATGCTTCCACAAGAAGCAGACTTGTTTCTCGTGAAAGCACAGAAGAAAAAAATGCTTCCCCAAGAAGCATAGATTTGCTTCTGCCGGAAACACAATTCAGAAAAAATATATACTTCCACAAGAAGCACTTTTTTGTTCTCATGGAAGTGCAAATTAGCTTGCGCGAGAAGTACACTCAAAAAGAGAAAAACAGAGTTGTGTTTTTAGTTTTTACGAGAAACACAGTTCTTCTTCTTCTTCTTCTTCTTCTTCTTCTTTTTCTTCTTCTTCTTCTTCTTCTTCGTGGCCTCCTCGGCGAGGGCGGACGACGTGGCCATCGGTTTTCTAGCTCTCTTGGCGTCGCGGCAGCGGTGGAGGGCGGCGGACCGTCGCCGAAGAGACAGTCGCCACCCTGGCGGCCTTTGGCGCGGTTAGCCCCGGTGCTTTTGGTCGGTTGAGCTTTTTCATCCCCAACCTTTTTATCGACGCGGGCGGTGGCGCGGGGCGGCTACTGGCGACGACAAGCCGGCGGGGTGGCAGAAGCGTCTTGGCTATCCATTCTGGTGACAAGGGCGGTCATCGGTGCCGACGGCGACACGTCGGGGCGGCATCGGCCGGAGAAAGAGGCGCGTAACTTTTACTCGCCGTGCAGGCGCCGAGTATATTTAGGCTGTTTGGAGGGCTTTTCCGGCGGGGGCATAAAAATTATACGCCCTTATAGGTTTTAGGACTTTGGGTAGGTGCAGCATAGATGAATAACTTGTCATTGAAAATGTTCGGAGTTGCCATATGCTCGTACATGGTGTTCCGCAGTTCTCGCGGTCCAAAACTTAATCACTCCCGGGCCAAGAATGAATGTGCAAATCAAGGTCATCACGTACATTTTGTTTGCAATCTAAATGAATCAAATCATGCTTGTCTTGTCTACAACAACAGTTTCCCCCCCATTTTTTAGCAAGATCATCCACACGAAGTACTACTAGCACGAGAACTAGAGATGCACGTTCATCTGCACCGTCTGCTTGGCAAGGCAAGCAGGCGGAGCAAGGGGCACCACAGGAAGGTCTTCGCAGTTGCAGATCTCGATCACGTTCCCGTCGGGGTCGTGGAAGAAGAGCTGCTCCACCGTCGTCTCGCCGTCCCACACCCTCGTGGTGACCACATCCAGATTCATGCCACGCAGCCTCGCCTTCGTCAGCGCCATGTCCGTGCACTGCCATTTCCAAACCGCACACGACGGGTCAGAGATTAATCAACGACGAGCGTGCCCGCAACTCTCCCCGTGCTTGATCTGCACTGACCTGAAACGATATGTGGTTGCCCTTGGGGTTGATCGCCGGCGACCTCGGAGGCGCATCGCAGCCGGCCCTCCGCTGCAGCAGATGTATGCCCATGCCGTCTCTATGCATCCTGCGAACAGAGCAACATTTTCACATCAGCAAATACATTAAGGCCCTGCTTGGATTGGATGTAAGTTTTTACACCTGTATTTATTTTATAATTTTACAAGTATAAATTACAGGTCAACACTTGATTCCTGCCTGGAATCAAACAACGGGACGAGCTCTGTATTCTATACCGGCCAGAAACGAGGAGAAACGCTGATCCAAACGCGACGCGGCAAGAAGCATGTGAATTTGTGCGTGCTCACCATGCTCCCCCGAAGTCCAGGGACGCCGGGCGCTGGATCAGCTGGAAGCCGAGCACGCGTCGGTAGAAGTCGATGGAGTCCTCGACGGACGCGCACGAGAAGGCGACGTGGTTCAGGCGGACGAGCGGCAGGGCGGGCTCAGGCTCACGCTGCTGCTCCTGGGCAGGGAGGCCCATGTAGGAGCTGGGACGATTGTATTTGGATGGTATGCTGATGAATAATTTCAGTGAAGTCGATTGCGGTCCTGGTCAATAGACAGGAGGTGACATATCTTTCCGTATTTATACACATACTACATATACATGCCACATTTTGTTCGGGATATACACGCGTACATGAGAAGGTGTGTGTCTTGACGCAAACGCGGATTCAGGATATCAGGATCCCTTTGAGGAGGAGACTTTGACCGCCACGAGGGATCGATCGCCAATCTCCTTACTCGGTATCCATCCACCTGTTGACGTGCTGTGGGCATCTTACACGCAGGCATCGTCACCTTCTCGTGCACGTTTACAGACATAAGATCCACGAAATTGACAAAATCAATACTCAGCTACTCGACGCTGCTGGTATACAGGTAGGCACGGGAAGCGGATTTTCGGATACTCACCCACATACAAGAGTTTGCACGAAAAGAAGGGTACTATCGCCGTCTCAGAACATAAGATGTTTCGTAGAAAAAACGTGCCAGACCGAAGTAGTACATCCATAGCCTTCACCCAATCCACATAACCATCTTTACTGAAATAAAGTAATAGTAATTCTTGCACCACATCGGTGTGCTGGGTGGCCGCCGCCTTTTCTCCTCCGGCAACTGACGATTGAGGCCGTCCTTTTCAGGGAGCGCCGCTTCCTAAGGTGGCCAGCGGTCCGTGGTTGTGGTCGTCTTTTCAGCGAGTGAAGCTTTCTACGGATTTAGGCGGCTCTAGACGACCATGGGGAGCGCGGTGATGATTTGCTAGGGGCGACACATGGTTGTTCTCGGAGGCCATCTCCGCCTTCTGGAGGTCTAGTGGCTTCAAGTTCAGATCTATTGCCGGCTATCTCCAGTGAGGACGGAGCGGGGATGCCAGATGGGCCCTCTTGGGCTTTTGGCAGCACCAACAGTGTCAGGTTTGTGTTCTTTGTCTTGCACAACAGGGACGTCCTCTTCATTGGTGGTGGCCCTTGTCGCTTCTTGGCAGCTCCCTCATGTGATCATGGCGCGGCTATCACACAATAATGTTCACGTCACTCTTGTGTGAGTGATTGGATGTCTCGGGAGGCATACCTTCCCGTCTTGGAGAAACTTGGCCACATCAGCTTTCTCAATGTTAGGAGCTATGGAGGCGCCGACTCAAAAAGTGGACGCACCAACACATGTTGATTTTAGTTTGGTGGTACTCTTCGAGTACCGCGCCTCGAAAGTCCAAGTTAAAACCCTAGGTGTGACATAAATTGGTTGTACCTACTAACGTTGTTTTTTCACGTTCTCCTTGTTGAAGGATTTGTCTGGAGGCTGTTTGAATTTGCTATTTAGGGTGAAAACCCTTCATCTTCCTTCAGTGGTTATATTAGGCGATGGGGGTGCCTGCGAGTCATACACTTACTGGAAGTTTTGATACTGGAGAACCATTTTATCGTGGTCTATGTGTTATTAAGGGTAGTGCTAGGGGTTGTTGCCCGTTGTTCTATGCCGTTGATAGCTCGAGCATGACTTTTTTGGGGTCATGCCCTTTTTTGGGTTTTTCTTTTTCTACTTATGTGCATCCTTGATATCTTGACTTATTTTTATATCGTGTTGTCGCAGCAGACGAGTACAATTGACATCTTCTTAATATAAATATATCTTCTTGTATCGAAAAACAACCTGAAATGCATCACAACTGACTGCTAACAAGATTAGATGTGCTCGTGTCGCGTTGTGTAACTCAGCCACTGGCTACCGTACTCCCGCCCCATGTACTTATTCTCCGCCAGCGGCAACCGTGGAAGCGTCTGTGCGGGGCCCTTCGATGCTGCCATCACCTTCTCCTCCAAGGCTCCAACAATGGCAACATGCTCTCCTCCGTGGGGTCCTCCTCTTTCACCTACTTCTCCTTCTAATGGGCTCGCGCCAGGAAGATCCCGACGCTACACGTGGGTTTGGCATTTGGACACCAGCTTTGGAGCAAGAACTTTACCATTGGGAGAGGAAATGCAAGGATGCTGCAGTTACCGTGGTTTGTGCTCTCTTCTCCCTCTTACAGGAGCCCTTACTGATTTTGATTGGTTATTACTCCCTCCCTCTGGGTTTAGTGGTATTAACTAATGCTAATAATTACATATTTGGTCCCATTGATTTGGCTAGCCGATTCAATAAACGTAGATAGAGAGAGTAGTGATCTTCTCATTTCAATACCTGGCTTTGTATGTGGCTATCATTCTTGGGAGCCAGAGATGAGGAGTGTGCATTTCCAACCTGTTACTCATGTATAATGGCTAGTTCCATTACCAGAGGCAGTGATGAGGAGGGAGGGCGATGGAGGATTGGCATGCTGCTCACCCAAGCCTCGTCGGATATAGCTATGCTGCTCACCATGGGTCTCACTAGATACGGTGGTGAGATCGATGGAAGCAACACGCTACTCATCGTGGATCTCATCAGATTGGTGGCAGAGACGTGGGAATGAGGTGGTTAGATTATGGATGTGAACAATATGTGAGCTGGGGGTTTATATAGCCAGAGTGGTCTCCGACTAACTGAATTATAAAACATGGAATTTGTTTCTTTCAATAAAGTGTGTATTTTATTAACTCATAATGTAGCATCTACATAATGCAAAGCTCATGAGCTCACATCATGCCTCCACATGACTCGGATGCACACAACCAACAACAAAATACAAAAATGAAAGAAAAATGCGCCCACTAAAATCATGTCAAAGTGAACTAAAACATGCAACAGTAACACTTATGACAACACCCAGACGTGGGAAAAGTGCTTCAATAACTATGCCTCAAGAAGGGAACAATGTGCGAGTAGCACCGTCCCTAGATCTATCATTGAAGGGTGGATCTTGGGTTTTGACACCGCAAAAGAAGTCCGAGATCACTCCAAACAACGCTTTCAACAAGGGAATAATGTAAGAACATCGACATTGCTAGGATACAACCAGTGCTCCTAGTCAGTTCCCACAGTGGGGGACGCCAACGGCAATAGCATGGGGGAGGGGGTTGACTAGTGGTGGCCGAAGGAAGGTGAGGGTGAGGGGCCCCCCAGAATCACCGAGTGAGATGTGATTGACATTATACGAAATTAACAGAAAAATATCTTCTCTTAGGTGTCAAAAGATGATCACTTAGCTCCTTATATTTATTTATTTATTCTCTCTTCCGCCTCACCATATTTCTCCTCTCTTCCTCCTCACCAGGTATGTATGTAGTCCCCGCAAAAAGAATAATGTGTTTCTAAAGGAAAACATGAAATATTACTAACAGAAATAAATTATTTTAGGGGTGGCAAGATCATCAAGGAGCTCTCTCTGTCTCGCTACCTCCCTCTCTCTCCAAACATGTCATGTGAAGGAAAACTTAAACTATTTTAGATATAATATACATATACCCCAACAATAATAGAGTGACCAACACCTTTTATTAGGGCATGCATAGTGATTGATAAGACAGTCTTATCTTAATCATGTCACATAATTTAGAGATGACAATAAAAATACATGTACAATGAGTTATCTCTTAGTTAAATTTTATGGTAACAATTCAACCCGGGCGACCGACCAGAAGCGAGCCATGCGATCGATCGGGATCATGCGGCTGATGATCCACAAGTGTAGGGGATCTATCGTAGTCCTTTTGATAAGTAAGAGTGTCAAACCCAAAGAGGAGCAAAAGGAAATGACAAGCGGTTTTCAGCAAGGTATGCTCTATAAGCACTGAAATTATCAGTAACAGATAGTTTTGTGATAAGATAATTCATAATGGGTAATAAGTAATAAAAGTAAACATGGTGCAGCAAGGTGGCCCAATCCTTTTTGTAGCAAAAGAAAAGCCTGGACAAACTCTTATATAAAGCAAAGCGCTCCCGAGGACACATGGGAATTACTGTCAAGCTAGTTTTCATCATGCTCATATGATTCGCGTTCGTTACTTTAATAATTTAATATGTGGGTGGACCGGAGCTTGGGTGCTGTCCTTCCTTGGCAAGCCCCCCCACTTATGATTAACCCCTCTCACAAACATCCGCAACTATGAAACAAGAATTAAGGTAAACCTAACCATAGCATGAAACATATGGATCCAAATCGGCCCCTTACGAAGCAACACATAAACTAGGTTTTAAGCTTCTGTCACTCTCGCAACCCATCATCTACTTAATACTTCCCAATGCCTTCCCCTAGGCCCAAATCATGGTGAAGTGTCATGTAGTTGACGTTCACATAACACCACTAGAGGAGAGACAACATACATCTCATCAAAATATCGAACGAATACCAACTTCACATGATTACTTATAACAAGACTTCTCCCATGTCCTCAGGAACAAACATAACTACTCACAAAGCATATTCATGTTCATAATCAGAGGAGTATTAATTATAATTAAGGATCTGAACATATGATCTTCCACCGAATAAACCAACTAGCATAAACTACAAGGAGTAATCAACACTACTAGCAACCCACATGTACCAATCTGAGGTTTTGAGGCAAAGATCGGATACAAGAGATGAACTAGGGTTTGAGAGGAGATGGTGTTGGTGAAGATGTTGATGGAGATTGACCCCCTCTCGATGAGAGGATCGATGGTGATGACGATGGCGGTGATTTCCCCCTCTCGGAGGGATGTTTCCCCGGCAGAACAGCTCCGCCGGAGCCCCAGATTGGTCCTGCTAGGTTCCGCCTCGAGACGGCGGCAGTTCATCCCGAAAGCTTCTCTCCCCTTTTTTCCAGGGCAAAAGACACCATATAGCAGAAGATGGGCGTCAGGGGCCTGCCAGGGGGCCCACAAGACAGAAGGGCGCGCCCATGGGGGGCAGGGCGCGCCCTCCACCCTTGTGGCTGGCTGGTGGCCCCCCTCTGCTGCTTTCTTCGCCCAATAGTTTTTACAAATTCCAAAACTAATCTCCATGAAGTTTCAAGACTTTTGGAGTTGTGCAGAATAGGTCTCTAATATTTGCTCCTTTTCTAGTCTAGAATTCCA